TGTTCCAACGCTGGTCCTCAGCATGAAGCTTTCCTACATTGTATGTGCGCTTGTTGGCGCTTCCTCTGTAGCGGCTACCAATGTCTATGAATACGACGTCGTTTCACAGGAAAGCCAGCCTGTGTTCCTCCACCATTCCCAGGAGACCCACAGCATCGATCAAGGCTTTGTGGCTGCGAGAGACAACCCATCAATCTCAGGAGAAGAGAGCTCTCCTACTACGACATTCCCTACCCCCAGCCTCGCTGGCAACCTGTCCCGAGTTCTGATGACACCGACAACCCGCCAATGGACCCCCGAGACTGGCACTAGTAGCCAGACCACTACTTTTCAGCACCCTGCCTCCTCTCTATGGTCTACTATCGAGAGTGAAGCCTATCACGCAACGATTCAAACCATTCAAAATTCCTATAAGACGACTCAACATGTTCCAGCCACTCCCGCCATACACCACACTCCAACACCAGTGTCCACAATGACTACGGTGCCACCAGAGCTTCTTATTCAGACCTTGACAGGTTCCGAATGGAAGGAGAATATCTGGATCACGACGACTGGGTCCGACGGTTCTCCTACCCTGGTTCCTGTGATAGTGGGGTGCCCCGGTTGCAAAGATCGCAGCGGCGGGGGGTTGCTTCTCTGGAACCTTCCGCAAATACCCAGCGTATCTTTCAAGTTTCCCAATATCCCCAATCTACCTCAGTTCTTTCTACCATGCGTAAAGATTCTGTTTGTGGAGATAGGAGACTGCCCTGGACCCGTGACCGAATCGACAGACGATGGCAAGCAGCAAGATGATCAGGAGAGCAACTCACCAACTCCTTCGCAGACGCCGTCGAAAACTCAATCGACGACAACATACTCGTCGGCAGTTTCCTCCACAGATGGCTATGAAGTCACACGAACAGCTAGTCATTGCGTAGCCACGTGTAGCCCAACAACGATCGACCGTTCTAGTACCGTTACCTGTTTCACAACAGCATGTCACGCGACCATCACAGGATGCACTGTCAGCGGGGTCACATCTTCCACGACCAAGATGCCATGCCCAACCCACGACAATGCCAACAACGTTGACAGACGCGACCTCGGAGGCGACAGCTGCCCAATGAAATGCCCACAGTGGAGCCTCTACGACTGGAAATCTTCTGATCCTGTTGAGGATGATCAATCCGACGCCAAGAAGAGAGATTTTGCACTGGCTGGACGTATCTTGGTTTCGCGTGGAGAAAAATCAAACGTGAGAAAGATTGGAGAGTGTCGAATCGAGACTGCATGGCCGGCTGGTAAACCAGTGGCGACACCTGCATATGCCTCAGGCCCAGAGTTTCTAGAAGCTGACCAAGGCGGGTTTATGAATGTCGATGAAACGAGGAGAAAGTCGAGCATGGAAGTGCCGAGATGGTATAGCTTAAGGAGCGCTGAAGCACCGGCTTGCACTCCCACGACCGATCGACTCGAAACACAAGATATGTATAATGTCATGCAACGCTTGAAGAAGAGTGAAGAGGAGCATAAAGGCAAAAAAGACGCATCAGTCTTTCTGTTCAACAATCAACCCGACAGGCCTTCATTGGATCATCTTTGGGAGAAGAGTTGGGCGACGGATTTCTTGCTCAAAAGTGTCCTGGACGACAGCAACGCAGCTGCTCCTTTGGCTGACTCGCCAGGTGGCGAAGCTGGAAAGATGAACTGCAAAGACTTCAAAGCTTACATTTTTGGCTCTCATGACGAGGGGAAAAGAGGTACGCAAAACCTTATCGCCAGTGTCTACAACGCAATGCCCTCGAAGAACAACTTAGAATTCGTTGGAATGACTCAAGCTCTCAACGAAAAGGCCAAAGTAAGCAAAACATTCCCCAGTTGCACCATGTGATGCATATCGTCAATCATATGCTAATTTGTTCTTCACCACAGGGACTCCTCTGGAATCCGAGGAATCTGAATCCAGAAGTGGATGCAAATATGAAAGATGCTGCGAAGCTGCCTGTTGCCGCAGCCTTGAAGGAATTAGACAAGAAGATGAACTTTTTGTTTACTATGCAACAAGGAGTTTGGGTGAGCAACATCACAAAAGCCATTGAGCTTATGCAGAGAACGAACAATATGGTGTACAACGAGTTGTGAGTCATTCGTCTTGACGGAACCGACCCACCACCGCTCCGTTTGCTCACCCTCCAGGTCCTGCTCAGGTCCTGCTCAGGACTTGCTCAGGCTTGCTCAGGACTTGCTCAGGCTTGCTCAGGTCTTGCTCAGGTCTTGCTCAGGTCCTGCTCAGGTCCTGCTCAGGTTCTGCCCAGGCTCAGGCTCGACCACGCTGGCTCTCGCTACTGTCTATCTGAACCAACTACATCGCTGTAGCCAGCAGCCTTCCCCGATGCTCAGATGTCTCTTCAGTGCACTCTGCTGGTCCGCGACGAGACATCTACGGTGAGCCTGGCTTCATTGAGGTAGACCGGTGCGAGCAAAGCAATGCCGGGACAGAATGAGAAAACATGGCCAGCAGGTTGAATGAATCAGCCTGAAATCGTGTGCATTCGGCAATGAGATATGAATTGATCACTAAGGTCTGCAGGTAGCGCGCGCTTTTGGAATGATCGATGCTGGTTTGCAGGTCACAAAGGCGCTAGAGCGCTGAAAGCTTAGGGGATCTCAAGCTCCCTCATTCCCAAACGAACTGCTGAAGGCCCCATAACTGAACTAAGGCCTGCGGAGGGTAGCCAGGCTGAGGTTGTGCCACTCACTGGGCCGTCACACTGCTGTAGGCGGCGGCGTATAGGCGGAACCATCGCTAAACGTCCCTAATCTTACAGTGGCCGTAGGGGAAAGTAGTCGCAGGCCTCAATAGGAGTGGACGGGTTTACCACCGAGCGACCAAACAATGTCAGTACGTCCTCACTTCTCCGTTGACCCTCACTCGGGGCAGCTGCAAGCGCGGACGGTGTGCCGACAGTGGCGAAGGCCCTCACAGGAAACGGCAAATTCCACGTCATTTCAAGCGAGCCCAGCGTAGAGCCAATCAGACAGGAAATGTCATGGGTAGCTGCTGCGCATAGCCCGCCGGAAATGACGGAAGACATGGGCAATGCTACGGCTACTCCACGGAGAATACCTTGGCGGTGCTCGACGCTGAGCATAAAATTTGTGAAATCCGGAGGCTCCTGAAACGGTGGCCTGTTGAGAACGGTGCGACAGCGGGATCATGATGTTGCGTTCCGAGGTGGGGACGCTAAAAGGCGACCATTCTTGGTTGCTATCAGGGCGAACCTGCCATTAGGCCATATGTACAAAAGAGAGGTACCCCTCAATGTAGAGAGGCTTTGTACCGGCATATATGGTTCTGAAAGTTGCCTAATGAGGCGGTTGGCAGCCGCTTCTGACTCAGCGAGATCAGGGCTATCGAACGGTATCTCTTTTTATTCATGTACATCGACTTTTCATTTTTGATGTTCTTGCGTGGGAATGTCGTGCGGGAACATGAAAATATGACATTTTTGCCCTATTCCTATGGTTGCGAAACCAAAAATCAAATGTTAATGTATTTGAACAAAAAAAGATACCGTTCAATTGCCCTGACTTTGCTGACTTTAGAGGTATTATTCTTTAATAAACACATGCAGTATATGTAGAGATATTTGCGGTTAAAGAAGCAAAACGGATGGCTAAGTATAAGACTCTCCTCAGGGAGATTGCAGAGTAAAAAGGCTTGAATCCTTCTTTGGCAGAGTTTTACAACTGACTATGGCATATAAGGCTTTCAACAAACCAGATCACACTGATGTTAAGATTTGAATCGGCGAGTTCGAATGACCGGCTTACGGTTTGTTGCTCACGGCTCATAGCCCACAAGAAGGCCCTAAAGGAAAACTTTCAAGAGAACGAGAGCAAGACGTTTGAATTCAGCGAAGGGAGTACATATGCGTACTGGAGAGCTTTCGAGTTTATGTACACTAATAATTATTCTGAAGAAGTCGAATCATTCGAAGCGCAAGGTGGCTACTTACTACTCCGAACGTAGACCAGTGCTAACCTCCGCACAGATGATGCTGATGAACTGACGAAGCACGTGCAAGTCTTTGTCCTGGCAGATTCCTTCTTGATGCTGGAATTGAAGAAGTTTGCTGTTGAAAGACTGGTACTAAAGCTTGAAGGGCTTTGAGTGAGCGAATCTTTCGTAGGCTGTATTAGAGAGGCGTATGAGTTAACTAACCATTCGGGTAAACAGATCAGGGATGCTATCCTCCAAGTTGTTAAGATGCACCTTGACAGCCTATGGTCGAAAAAGATATTTTGCGATCTCATTTATAAAGAAGGTGATTTCCCTGGCGATCTTGTTGGACAATTTGTGAACCGCTCAAATGGTAAGGCTAATGTGAAGGAGGATGAGGTTAAAGAAGCTAACTCTTCGTTCTAGCTGTTAAGAAATAAGATGAGCGGTATAGCTTTGGTTTGATCTGTGTTTCGACTCTATGTACGGATGTCTGATGATCACCCCTCTGGTGTCTGCGACATATGTCATGAACAAGAACAGCTTTGTGGAGGTCTTGGAGCTGCATACTGCGACGCTTTGAGGCTAGAAATCGCCTAGGCTAGCTATATAATATAACGTTTCTGTTTTCTAAAGCAACTCTAATTTGTTACACCTCCGGCCAGTGAATTGTGGCATCTGTTAACCCAACCCATGCTCCTGTATGGCGAGACATCGTGCTGTGATATGTACCTATGTACCTGTTTGAAGAGAGGCAGAAACCAAACTGACTTTACGTCATTTGCCTGAGTATTCATTGTTAGGCATGAGTCAAGGGCTAATGACACGAATTGATTCTGCCGGTGCACGTTATGGCTATGGGTATCAGACTGTATCGTGTCCTGCCCTCATCCACTACGTCCGAATTTCGGAGAGGTGCCTGCGTATGTGGTGTTCTGCTAAATAATCCTATGTGTAGAGCTCATGTGTGAAGTCATCAACACAAAACTCCTGTCAGGGACATCGCATACGCTCATGAAACGGTGCCGTGTATCTCCAGGGCATGACGCTGAAAGTGCATTTTGCGATCGAGAGTCATATCACAAACCTTGCACTCTACCTGATCGTGGTCTGCAATTTTGGAAAGGTGCATACGTCTAACGTGTTTGGTCAAGTCATTGGACGTGTAGAACTCACGGATGAGATCGTCTGACCGCTGTTCATGATCAGGAGGCAGATGGAAGGCTTGACCAATACATATAAAGCATCGTCTTGGCCGTTCATGCTTGTCGGCCACAAAGACGGACAGGGCAGCTTGGTATACGGGGCTGCCCTCCCGGGGATGACCTGACGTAGGAGGGATCTTACCCTTTGTTGGCCGATGTTGGGGCTGGCGTGACGTGCATCCTTCTTGGACGAGACAGTATGCGGATACTGCTGCGATAGCATCATCTCTTCGACGATACTGGCCCTCAAGTGTGTTGACGACTGGAGCAGTGAGCTTTGTGAGCAGTCGTTTTTGAGCTTGCCCCTGAGGCCGCGAGGTTCCTCCTGTTGCGATTTTGGCAAACCCGACGCCCTTAATCTGGCGCTCAATGTCGTCTATGGCCTGCTTGTCGGTCCATTCCTGTCTGATCTTTTGTTTGAGTTCCCTCCTTAGCCTCTCTTTCTCCTTTCTAATGGCCTGCCGAGTCTGTTTTGACTGCTTGGAGCGTCGAGGCAATCTTTCGAGGGCCCGAGTCAACCGCACAACGGTGGGGTGCTCGGTAACAGAATCGGATTGCTCCGGCGTGAGATCGATGGGACGACGTTTGGATATGGAGTGACCGATGCTGCAGGACTGCTTCATGAGCGCCTGCTGTGGCTTCTGTCCCCGAAGGATGCCCCAAAGATCGGCTGAGATGTTCCGCCCAAGGTAGTGCTTCTGAAAGGGATCTGAGTTGCTGTGTCCCATGGCCAAGTTTCGAAGGGCCTCGCTGACATCAACTATGATCGAAGTCAGCTAAGCTGGCTGGTAAGGGTTTAACGGAACTAACCGCTTTGATCAAACGCATTGGCTGCGTTGTAGCGTAAGGTGTAGGCGGTCGTGGGATAGTTGAAACCCAAAATTTCGCCGATTCTCTTGGTCCAGCCGTTCATCATCCCGGCGGATATACGTTCGTCGAGGGAAATCTGATAGCCCGCCATCGTGTCAATGGCTCTGCGGAAAATGAAGGTGTCACTCACTTCCTCCTTAAATGGCAGGGGAAGCTCTTTCTCGCCATTATGGATGTCGAGCTTGCTAAGATGGTGCGGCGACGTAAGGCTGGGTGCTCTGAATGCTTGATGACGGAAAAGGATGCCCAAGAGGAACACATGGGGGCTTAGGAGCAGGGAAGGGTCGAATATGGTCTCGGGGATTGTGTATGTTTTGCTACAAGAACGTGAGCATGCTTCACCATGACAAGCGGACCAAAACTGTACTTACTGTTCCTTCTCGCCAAGGTACGTCTTGGTGAACTCCGGAGTGAGTCGAAGAAGGAGTCTGTGTGGGCCGCCTTCTGGATCCCTAGCCAAAGACACCTTGATGTCCTTGAACTGTAGCTTCAAAGTAGCTTCTGGACGAGACCCGGCCGGGGCAAGCAGAAGAAGGAAGAGCACGGCGAGGATACGCAACTCTCCCAACTTGAACGACTTCCTCGTGGTACCCAATGTGGTCTCGATCTGCTGTTTGAGATCATCGATCGTCATGCCGCGATTGGCTCGCCGCTGTTCGCTCAAGCCATGCTTCTTGGCGAGATCTCGCAGAACCTAGATTCGTTAGTGAGAGCGCGAACGTCGCGGTAGGAGATACCTGCTCTGTGCATGCTGCGGTTCAGCTTCGGGTCCACCTTGTCGCCCACGGCTCTCTCAAAGACGAGCCGAAAGACCTTCCAATATGTGCCCAGCGAGCTCTTCTTCTTGATTCCACGTTTCCTCCTGCCATTCTTGCCAACTTTCTGGCATAGGACCCAGTCGAAAAAGCTGTACAAAAGGCCGACGGAAATGGTCGCATAGCAGTCTGCCACGTCGCGCTTAAGGACGAGAGAGAACCTGCGAATTTGGATCGTGAGCGGTTTGTACGATGCGCAAGATTGGGGGAAACTTACTGGCGCCACTGGTCCGCCACTGCATCGAGAAGCACCGTTGTCCCAAGGCTGTAATCTTGACAGGCGTAGACATCCTCGTTAAAACTCTCGACCTTACGTCGCCAGTATTCGGACGAATATGTATCCTCATTGAAGAGCTGGATCTGGTCTTCAACGTCACAATCCTCGTCTTCGACGTCCGTCGCATCGGTGTCTGAACCACCGTCGTGCTCTTTCGCGTCGAAGGTATCGTCGCTATCGTAGCAAACATCGTCGGAGGAAAAGGACGCGTCGGAATCGTGGATGTCTGCGTTAGTCTTGCGACGTCGAGGCATGGTAAACCGAGGAGAGTTGGGAGGTGGGCAAGGGATCTGTCGACGCGGGGGAGCAGCGGTGAAAGTCTGTAACGAATGGATAGTAGGAGCGAATGAGTTGAGTAAGCCGCTGCTTGGGGCAGCGCAGCGACTGCAATTTATGTAGAAGGAGAAAGCAGGCCATGGAAGAAACCATTGTGATGGCCGTTTTTGGCTGCTTCAGAGCAGCGCACCAAGTACGATGACAAACTCAAGTAATCCATGTGCTTGGAGAAAGCATAGCTGGCAGTTGAGCAGCTTTGGGAGATGTGGCTGAGATACTTCACGAGCTACCTCACGGTACAAAGCCTGAGAGACGCAGGGGTTCCAGGGCCCCGCTCCACCTTTGGATGGGCTAAAGCGGCGAGGGATTTTGGGCAGATGTCCCGCTGAATCCGGCGGCCGAACCCGCCTAAAACAGCGGCAAAAAAGCCGTCACATTCTTTATAGTAGTAAAGATATATATTATAATATATATTAAATATAAGATATATACTAAAACTTATACTAAAAAGGTTATTTTATATTTAAAGTTAGAAAATAAACTAATTTACCTATATTACTATATTTTCTAGAATATTTTCTATTACGTTTTTAAAATACTTTTTAAAGCTTTTTATATTTTAGTTATTAAAAATAAATATATAGAAAAGCTATAAGGATTCCTTCTATTTAGATATATATTTAATAAAGTGTTTATAATATTTTTTTTACTTTAAATAATAAGTTAGATAATAATATAAACTAATAATTTATATTATTTAGTAGGATAATAAAATAGCTATAATTACTATTAATAGCAGAATATACTATTAATATTAAGTAAAGAATAATAGAATTATATTTAAAATACCCTTAACTAATATAAAAGAGCTTATTAGTAGTTTAAAGTATATTAGCTAAGAAGTAATTCTAAGAAGTATTAAGATATATAGAAATATTAATCTTCTTTTAGAACTATAGCTAGAAATAGTTCTTATAGAGATCTATCTTATTAACCTATTCTTATAATAAAAGACTAATTAGAAGTTTTTAAACTAAGTTAAAAAAGAGTAATTTAAGTAGTATTTCTACTAATAAACTTCTTTCTATATATTTATACCTAAGAGAGACTTTTAGCTATATTAGAGATAGATATATATATATAGTTACTAAGTATATCTACTTAAGAAAGAATAAGAAAAGAAATATAAGGAATTATATTATAAGATATATCTATAGGAATATATTAGATACCTAGTTAGATATATTGAAAATATATATACCTTCTATAAGATCTAAGTATTTATACTTAAAAGAGTAGTTATTATATATAATATATAATTTAATAAGTCTAAGTTCTACTTAAAAAAGGATAAATAAGTAGTAATACTAACTAAGATTATATATTATATTATTAAATAGAAACTAAAGCTCAAAGTATATTTTAATATAGTTCTTAAGCTTTTAGGTATATAAGAATAAGCTAATAATATAGTAAAAGATACTCTTAAAGAGTAAGAAATTTTAATTATACTATTATAAGATATTAAAATATATAAAATACTTTAAAAAGAAGCTTTAAGAGGTTTACTTACTTTTAATAAAACTTTAAGTCTTTAAATTATAATTAAGAATTAGAGAAGGAATACTAATATTATAAGTATATCTAATAATAGCTTTTATAAATAAACTAAGGAAATTATAGATATTTTAAATAAGAATAATAGTATTTTTATTACTTCTAAAAAGAGTTAGAGTAAAAATAGTAAACTTTAAGTTTATCTTAGAATACTAATATTAAATAATAACTATAAAGAGATAGTAATAGTAGAACTTAAAAATCTTTTTAAATTATTAAATAAAATATCTAAAGTTATAAACTAGATATCTATAGTAAAAAACTTAGAAAAAGCTTTAAAATAAACTTATAAATAGAGGGATTATAGAAAACTAAGCTATTTAAGCTAATATAATTAATAGCTTCTAAAGCAATTTAGAGATATAATTTTATTTATAGATAATATATTAAAAGCCTTTTCTAATATAAATTTTATAAGAAATAACTTAGACTAGCTATTTATTAAAATTAAATATAAAGAAAAGGTTATTTTTATTAAAAACTAATATATTTAGTAAGCTTTCTTTATAATATTTATACTAAATATAAAGAAAGTAATAGAAAAAAGTTTATCTAAATATATTATATTTTATTTATATATCTAAAGTTATATTAGAAGTTAACAATAGAAATAGAAAAATAAAAATATAAAGTATATAATACATATATCTAAACTCTAAGCGTTTTTCTATAACTAGAAAGAACTTCTAATACTTCTAAAGTATTTATATAAGCGTTTTATATAAGTAGTAAAGTTTAAAATTAAGAAACTATATAACAAAGATATTTAGTAAGAAATTAATAGATATTCTATATAATTATAACTACTACTCTTAAAATAGGTTTTTATTTATAAAGTAGATATAAATAGTAATATAAAGTGTTTTAAAACTAGAATCTATATATAAAGAGACTTCTTAAAGAAAATACTTTAAAAATATATATATAATAACTTTTACTATAAAAACCTTTTATATTATAATAGTATTAGCTACTTAATTTAATTTTAAAGTTTAGTAGTTTAATATAGATAATACTTTCTTAAATATTAAAAGGGATTTAAATAGACCTCTAATCTATTACTAATTTCTAGAAAACTTTAAATATAAAAGAAAGTATATTAAACTTAATAAAACTTTATATAGTTTAAGAGATATACTACTCTTTTAGTATAAGTATTTCTTAGTAATTTTAAAAAGGCTAAGATTTACTTTAAACCTAAAAGAAGTATACTTCTTCTAAGATTCTAAATATAAAGTTTTAGTATTATTTTATATAAATAATATTCTTATTTTATACTACTAAAAATACTCTTCTAAAGTAAAATAAATTATTAATAAACTAAAAGCTAGATATAAACTTAAAAACTAAGGTATTTGTTACGACCCGTTATGCAGGAGTAACAGATAACCGACCCACTCAGGCATCGGGCGGCTAGGACAGGACATTTGTACTGCAGGAACACCGGAACAACAGGGACTCACTCGGAGAACGGAAGAACTATGGACCAAGTCACGTGACGATAAGATAACGATCATATTGGATCAATATGATCCAACACGACTTGGGGGCCAAACGATCATTCTGGATCAAAATGATCCAGGTCGACCCAAGGTACAAAGGAACATGTTCGGAATTAGACTTGTATATAGTATGACCCTGAGCCTGGCTCATGGTCAGACTTCCATAGCTCTTCAGCAATCAACTTTGTATTCATCCTCAGGATACTTTCAGCTTACCTTCACTGCGAATACTTGTTGAGTCTAAGATTGATCACCTTAGCCTCTGACTACTGATCTACGACACAGCCTACGACCTACGACCCAGACTACGATACGACAATCTGTTTATTAGCGTCAATCCCCAGCTTCTGTTAGCAGACCCTACTGTCGGATAGCTGACCGTAACAGTATTATTAAGTATTATCTTAATACCTAAATAGTTAGAAATTATATAGCTTAAAAGGTCTATTTAGTATATAACTTATATATTAAAAAAGTTATTAAATATTTTAATTTTTTAAAAAGTATTTATTTTATAACTCTATTACTTTTTAAGAAATTTAAGAAAAATAAGAATTAAGCTTCTCTAATATATATTAAAGAATACTAAGAGAAAGTTAGTTTTATACTATATATAGTAATAATAATATATTTAGATATAGCTTTTATAGCTATATATTTCTTATAGTTCTTTATAAACCTTTTACTAATATATATAGTAGCTATTAACTAAATAATTTAATACTTCTATTTAATATACTTCTTTACTTTCTACTTTAGAATCGCGGACGAAGGCAACGGATGGCCCGGCGACTCGGGAGTCGCCACAAATAACGTAACACCGAAAGGCGATATGGCGAGAACAATTGTGGCATATCAAATGAGTGGGCAAGCAAGATGCTTCGAATTTGAACAATCCTGCCGATTGTATTAGGATCGACAATCAAAATCCGAAAGCGAGGTCCAGCATGTCATCGCGATTTGGTGTGATCTAAGGGTTTAAGTTCACGCTTGGAAGATGTGCGGCCCGACCGGAACACTGTCGGCACTTCGCGCTTCCGGCGGTCGGTATTTTCAACCCGTATCCCGTAATATATGGTGGTACGACCTGCGCAATTTGGTAATTTGCTCCGATGTGGTAATGCCAGACGCGACTTTATTCTTCCGGATGCTTTCGAACGAATGACTCCGTAAGAGGGCTCAAACTCGCATTGGGGAGTGCCTAAATAAACTCATTATGACAAAAGAGGCTGTCACAGAGGAAGGTCTTTTAGCGAGTCCCGGGAACCGAGCAGTAACATACATCTTTTCATGTCATTGTCGAGGAGATGACTGTATTCATGTTTGTGAAGCTTAGGTAGACAACTATGAAATGCGTTGATACCCACCCAGCCCAGGTCACATACAATTGGGACTTTATTACATGTCAACTCCTTAAACATACGGTCTAGGTTGTAATTGGATCCAAGATCGCAGCTGGCAGTAAAATCATATCGGCCCCCTTTGTCATTATCGCTGCCCTGTTCTATGCATAATCTCCTTTGTCGGGATTCCCCGCCTGAGTTCTAATAGATAGGCATCGAACCTTGTCGTTTCCTCAATCACCTGTTTGATATGTTCATATCCCAAAGGCCGTTGCCTGTGCACTGCCAGTTGTCGGGCCGTAGATAAAGCGTTTCGAATCTCTCGACCATTGAGATCAGCAGCCGCCAGTTCGTCTAAGTATTTACGTATCCCTGATGAGTCAAGGCCATACTGTTTAGAGAAGGGTTTATCAACTCCCTCCTCTTCACTCCTATGACGCTTCTCCTCTAGTTCCTCCATGCGTTTAAGAAAATTCTCCCAAATACGTAACCGTTGCCACTGTTCAAGGTCCTTGTAGTGTAATGTCAGCTGAATTCGTGATTTGAATGCTTCGTCAAAGATTCCAACTCGATTGCTGGTCAGTATCATAATTCCTAATTAATTCCAAGTCAACGAATGATCCAGGGTATCTGTTGTCTGCTAATACGCACCGTCGTAGTACTCCAGAACTCGAAGAAAGACTTAATTCGTCAGTTAGCGCTTGTATTCCCAGGCAAATTGTGGCAGAAAGCTCCTGCTATCAGTTGTTCTTAAAACAAGTGTTATAGAAAACTGATGACAATCAAGCTAGGTCCAGCTAATTCATACCTGAGACGAGAGCATTTCTCTCTAAATTTTGCAAGCTCCGCTGTTCGAGAAACACGTCGGCTTCGTCAAGAAGAACAACTGGGAATATTAGATATCCAGGTAACTTGTTTCCCTTATTGGGAACGAATGTTATACTTACCACAACCCCATGTCTTCCCAAGCAGCATAACCTTCTCTAGATACTACGTGCAGTTATATATTAGCTGTTGGCTCTCTCTTGGTTGACTCCCAGCAGAACTACCTCTTCTACATCCTGAGCCCTTGTCCCAATGTCACCGCAAGTGACTCTATACAGCGGCTTTTTAGCGACCTCGGCCACACTGACGCCAGTTCTCGTTAGTCGCAAGTATTCTTATGAGAAAGGCGACTTACCTTTCTGCAGTTAATGTCTTGCCGGTGCCAGGGCCACTTTAAAGAGCTTAGCCGTATGTTCATGTAAGTACTGCGCCAGGAAGCCATACCCATGAAGCAGGATAAAGAGACCATTTCCTTTCCCTTGAATGAGGTCTGTATTCCCCTCCTCTTGCAGTTGATGGGTAACAACCGCCTCAACTAATTCCTTGGTGCTCTCGTTGATGACTAGCTGGTTGAAGGCCTCTTCGTTCCATTTGACATCCTCTAAAAATTCAATGTCCAATTTGACTGGATCTTGCTGTTAGAAAGAACTATTGCAACTTCGCTTCATTCGCTTACGCCATTCTTTCTTTTGCATATTGAAGCCATAAACTTTGTTTGGGAGGCACATGAAGAAAGCGTCTCCTTCCTCTGGAAGGCGTTCTTCGTCGTCTGGTAGTATGTCGCCGTGGTGTTCGTTCGCGGCTCCCCTCATCACGCGATGCATCTGGCTGTACATTCCGAAGTCGACCATGAATCGAGAATCAGCCTATTATACCTTAGCTCTGTCTTGAATGGATCAGAGCGTATTGTCCTACGTACCAATCGCCCGATATCGCCCTCAGGAAATCGGCGGGAATATACATAGCGTCTCCGGCGACATTTCCAAAACGTGTTACCACGTTGTCGTAAAGAATCCTTTACTTCCTCATCGGCATACTTCGCAGGATATATTGGAAGATCACGTATCTGTATTGGATCGTCGGCTTCCTCTCCTGGTAGCTTCGAAAGCTGTTGAGTTTCGGTAATCTTTCTGAAGTGACCGTCAAAACCCCAACGTGTGACACTGATGGAAGGAGGGAACTCCTCCTGAGAACTTTTGATCAGCCAGTCCTTCGCACAGACTCCGCTGAGTTCATGTGTCCCCGCTCCTTTAGGATTAGACACCAGGATGCTGTTCGGGACCTAGTAGTGTCAGGAGTTGAAGAATCGCGTTGAGATGTCTGAACCTACAAACAAATAATGCAGGTACTCCCGGGTGATTCTGCCTCCCTCAAGTAGAACTTCAACTTGACTCCATTCCATAGTCATACTGTCGTATATGTAGTTGCGGAATGCAGTGAAATGTTCGTATAGGGGCTCAGGAAGCGTTTGACTGGCTGCTTCAATTTCGTCCCGGCGGTGAAACCACCATAAATATGGCGCATTGATATCATCTTCGAAAGTCTCATCATCTGACACACCTTCGGCATCGAACTCGGCATCAAACCTAGCGAATTCAGGATGTGGTATATCCTGTAGGGCTTTGAGGGAAATGCTCAGCAAGGCAGCTATCAACTCATCTCTAACGAGTCGTACGCACTCTCCTGTCATGTACTTCAAGAGATCCTGTGAGCGATCACTCTCATCCCGTCGCGACCTTGATCGACCGTTACAACACTCCAAGGTTCTACAGACAAGAAAAGAAACTTCTTTGCGGCGCTCAAGGTACAGGGGGAGGTTGGAAATGGGATCATTGCCTTGCAAATGGTGTCCATGACTGCCTCTAGTCATGATGCGCGGCGGGCTAGCGTAAGATGTTTCAGAACCGTCGACGCAACAAAAGACGTTGTACAGAACCTGCCCTATCGGGGAGCTTTGGTGAGCTCGCTGCGGTGGCTGTCTCAGCTGTTCCAGTTCCGCAAACGCATCCGTCATGTGCAAGAATATGTTATCGTCGGATTCGTCGGCGTGCAAGTGCAAAAGGTGACATATTGCCCCCCTCCAGCCCTGCGATCGGAGAACATGGGATGCTGGAGGCGGGTGGTGTGCAGAGGCATCTGCGGAAACACTCAAAGTTAGTGCCTTTTCAGCATGCAAAATACAGGTGTGATGATGGGTTTCGTACCATATACCCCTTCAACTGCAGATTCCTGCTCTACGAAATCGCCCAGCAAGAGCTGATGCTGCATGGATGAGGCAGTTCTTGCTCTCTTGCCAGTCGATCCTTGCTCACGCATCTGCTCGGTAGATGACGACAACGGCCGTTTCGAACTGTGATGCGAGGGATTCATCGCCATTGTCCCGCTACAGGTGAGGTGGAGATAGAGGTGGAAAGCTGCAAGACTTGGTGCGGCCTGAAGAAACGGTTGCCTGTTGGGTACCGGCTATCAACCCTGGCATCATCATCGGAGGATAGAATATTCCGATATTTATGTTCGTCATTAGTGGTGATACAGAAAGCTCATAGGCCAGATTGCCGAAGCACACGTTAATCGTGATGATTGGATGGCTGAGTTGGAGTGAGACATGTAATTGGCGGAACATGCTCAATGACTTGCCTTGTGTCCCAAATGAAGCAAGCGAAGGAAAAGTAACCTAGCTTTTATCACTTGGTAGATTATGTTGCGGCCTGTGGGCAACTCTCCACACCGGACCGTTATGACATTCAATTACAACTAAATGTTTGATGTAAGGACGTTCTTGACCAATTCTACATTACGGAAATGCCGACAATTTTCACCTAATCTCCAACACACCACTCCTGTAGGAATGCCTTGGTACAGCTAGCCGCCGTTGCAGCTGCATATGTCTGCCAGTCCTTGCTTTTGTGACTGTCAGCATAATCACAAACGCCTTTAATTACAACGCAGCACCGAAATAATTCCCAAACTCCAGCGGCTTCCATTTCGAATGCAATTATACCCTCAGACTTTGCCATCCTGTCGCGATGCTCTCCTGATTTCATTACCTGATCTCCGGAAGCCATCGATCCGAAGTGAATTGTGGGGCAGAACTCAACGGGGGGCAACAGCAAATAATCGATCCTTGTAACAGAAGATTCCAGTCTCTTGCGCGTTACAGTCCTGGCTTCATCGCAATTGAGTTCTTCGCATGTAAGAGAGCAGGCCCAATGGCAAATGCCAGTTTCCTTCTGATTTAAGCAAATAGCGCAGGAATCAGGCGAGTGATGTTTATGTCGGTAGGTTCCCTCGAATAATCGGTCACTCTTGACCCCGGGGTGGTGGACTAGGCCGTTGTGGCTCTCCATTAATGAAAGCAGATGGCCGGAAGTTCTGTCTTTAAGTTTCTTGTAATGTCGAATGCCTTTTTGACGTTTCAGAAACGACTGGAGCTCGGGGGCTGGTCTTCCTGGGACATCCTGAGGCCCAGTCTTCCTCACCAGTCCCTCGGGGTATTGTCTTCCAAAGTCGTAGACCACAATGCCTTCACTGATGATAACATCTCCCAGAACAATCTCCTGGTTACAACCTTTGGTGTCTGTGTAGAAGGGTACACCGCCACAAATACCCACCACCAATACCAGCATAATCTTCGGGAAGCTATTCCTGCAGTCGGATGCCACGATCGCACTATTAGCTTTACCCATGTTAGGCATATACGCTAATACGACCTGGTGTCCGCTTAGAATGCCGAATGAATATGAATTCTTGTCTCCAGGTGCTTTGAATTTCGCTTTATTAACCTCATCCCAATGATGGTCAAACGTTGCTTCTACTGCATCAGCTTCCAAAGTCAAAGCGCATATGATTGCCACTCTGACATCGTCGGGAGAATGCGGAGGGAGTGCAGAGCTCTTTGTGACTCGGGGACATGCAGTATCTGCCATTGAATCAAGCAGAGCTCCTGTCCGTTCGCTGCGCACAAGATAGTCAGTAGCCGTTTTCCGACGGATGGGTCAACAAACACTGTACCTCTCGAGATGTGCATTATCAAAGCTGATATTTTGTCCTTCAAATGGCTTTGAAACTGGAGGGGGGCTTGGGCGAGGTCTGCTTTCTTGAGGAACGCCAAATGTCGGAAAGTGTGAGGGCCAGTATGTGGTTTCGTCCGAACTTCTAACAGAAAGTATTAAGGCTTGATCGACATGAGAGAAAGACTGGAATTCATCGATTATGAGCATAATCTTAATCCAATTTCGGGATGTTGTTGTAGTCTCTTCAACCTTTCTTGCGAATATTGACGGCCAAGAATGAATTGCCTCAGGATAGGCTCTGAGAATTCTGAGATCCAGGACTATCGTTATGCGGTGAACATCAGTGCAAGCCCGAAAAAGCAGGTCTATCCAATCTTGAGAATTTCTGGATTTGTGAAAGGCATGTAGATTTTCGACTACATGACCTAGCGGCTTTTTTGTCGTTGCAAAATAAAGGACTTGCATCGTCAATTGTTCAAGGACAGCTTCTGGTGTAGGCATCCGAAGCGGGCCGGACGCCGCACCTTGAGGAATATCTAGAACGTGTGAAACAGAGTGATGCTTGGAAAGATGTGCAATCAGTTCGGAAACAAATTGATCTGACCGTTGACTGGATGTATGAGCTGATTCCAAGAAGACTATGGATGATTGGAAGTCGGTTATCCAACTCCCTAACAATTGGTGTTCCCAAATGTCCTGCGTGTAAATGGCGTTGTTCGAAGCCGCAGCCTGTCTGTTAAGGACGACCTGTAAGTCCTTGAATCTTTCGAAAATGTAAGATGGTTTGAGAAACGCAGCAGGTCTACTGAATGCCAACAGCTTCCAGGCGGGCACAGCACTAGGTAATGCTAGGGCGTCCCAAGGCATTTGAGCTTCAAGGGAATCTGTGTGTATGTACGCTATTAGGTGCTGGAACGTTTTGGGGATAAAAGCTCTTGCCATAGATTTGTGCCCTCAAGGCCAGAAGATCGTGGAAGTAGTGGCGCTTTTCTTTGTAGATGCTGACGAGGCCAACTGGCGAGGCATCGTCGTACGTTTCGCACATTGAATCGATGTCTGCCTGAGAGACTTGACGGTCCAATTCCCGGAGGAACGATTGTAGTTTGTCGTCCATGATAATGACGTTCGCTAAAACGCCAGTGCGTTTTTTCCGATGGCAAGCATTCCAGGAAAGTACATGCTATGCGAAAATATTTTGTTGGAACAACGGAATGGTGAACACAGCATTTCTTGGCTATGCATCATCAACCAATGAACGAGCAACACGTTATCTAGCCCGCTCTCGTCGCACATTCGGCTAGGCAGCAACATTGATCCGGCCAGCTACGAAATTGACGCCTTACGATAGGCAAAGCGGTCAATTGCGAACTATCATGCGGCTAAGAACCCCCAATAACAGTATGGATATGACATCAGGCGTTATCCGAGTAGCCACCGAGAGACTCGCTTAGAGATCAAATCAACTGACTTGCGAGCCCAGACATCAACAACACTCTTAAGGCTTGTTGCAAATTATCGAGGCAATCACGGATCATCATACAGTCGCGTTTTAGACCCTCTCCGATCACAATCTCGGCCCCTGGAGCCGTTGACACGAGAATAACCCGAGCATTGATACTGGACCAGGAAAAAGAGTTCGAACGGACCGAAACCCTGAGGAATTGGGCGAATATGGCTGGTCGCGACCACAACCAGGAGGTTTCCGAGAGCGAAAAATCATCGAATAAGCTGCGGGAAGCAGTTTCTGGTGCGCCGCTCGACCCAGTACCCACGGTCATTTATCCATACAAATACGGAGGACGTCAAGTAAAGAAGTCGATCCCAGCTGTGGGCCACGGCGAGAATCACGACATCTCCAAAAACACCAAGAACGGACATCGGGGATATCAGAATAGGTCGTCCATGATTTCTACAACAGCGCAGTATAGGAAAATGAGGAATTCCACTAAGCCAGTTACTACGCGAATCCAAAAAGGAAAGCCGAGAATTAAGAATAAAAGCAAGTCATTACAAAGAGCCTATCATTTACAAAGACCTACTAACACCCCCAGATAGCGTCAAGGATCCAGATAACCAATCCGGCCCATCTCAATCGTTTCCTCTGGCCGGCTCCTTCTTGCCTCCCAGAGAGCCCAGAGAGCCCCCGCAGCTCAGTCATACGAATCGCCCCTCGAATACCGGATCATACCCGGAAGGCCGGTCTTTGTCCCGCTCTGGCGAAGTTGATCGTACCATCTCAAAAGATAACACCGGTGGCAAGGAGGCTCGATTACGATCCTTGATGGAGCTACTGATGCCATCAAGAGTTCCACCGCCAAACCCAGCGGCGATGGCGCATGCCACGCAGATGGCTCAGCAGAGACTCTTTCAGCAGCAGCAGCAGGCAAGACAGACCCTTGCGGCACTGCAAAATAGAAACGGAAATATAAGTGTCAATAGCCCAGCGGCGATGGCGCATGCCACGCAGATGGCTCAGCAGAGACTCTTTCAGCAGCAGCAGCAGGCAAGACAGGCCCTTGCGGCACAGCAAGAATTCAACGGAAATATGGGTGTCAATGGCATGCCTATGAATCCGCAAATTGCGGGCCAGTTGGCAGCTAATTTGAGGGAAGACATAAGACCGGTATGTACAGCACGCCCTCGCGGACGACTGTAATGTTAATAAAAGTCTACAGCAGGCGCATACTCCCCAGGCCCAAGCGATGTTAGCACAGCAGATCGCTCTCCAGCAGCAGGCTGTCGCGCAGCAGAACCAGCAGATAAACGATCAGCTGGTTCAAATGAACCCTCAACAAATGCAGATACAGCAGGCCCAGATGGCTGCCTCTATGCAAGCGCAACAGCAAGCTCAACGACAGCAACAGCAGCAGGCTCGGTGGCAACCATGGTAGGAATGGCATTACTGTATTTACTTACAGAAGCAGGCCCAGCAGCAACAACAGCGGGGCCAACTCGTTAAAAGAAACGACCAAATATAGCAGCAGCCCCGAGCCCAGGAGATTGCGCGCGCCCGGGCTCGTCAACTAGCCGACGTAGCTACTCCGTTACTAATGTTCGATTTTATATATAACCTATAGGGTACATATTATTCTACTTAAGATAAAGACCTAAGAGATGTTCCCTTAGTAGGAGAGTTTTAATTTCTAACTGTACGCTTAGAAACCTAACTATTAAAGACTATAATATTATATACTTATGATATAATCAGTTAGGTGGTTTTAAGCAGCAACGCAGATAAACAGGTAGATGCATTAGCGCATGCATTTACAGCAACCTTGCGTACATCTAGAGAAATAACCTAGATGTTACGGTCAGCTGTCCGACAGTAGGGTCTGCTAACAGAAGCTGGGGATTGACACGTAGTAACAGTACACTGGGTCGTGGTCTGGGTCGTAGGTTGTAGGCTGTATCGTAGATCGGTAGTCAGAGGCTAAGGTGATCAATCTTAGACTCAACAAGTATTCGCAGTGAAGGTAAGCTGAAAGTATCCTGAGGATGAATACAAAGTTGATTGCTGAAGAGCTATGGAAGTCTGATCTTGAGCGAGGCTCAAGTCATACTATATACAAGTCCTGAACAGTTCCCTTGTCCCGTCACTGATCGCTGGTTAGGTATCAGTGAGCGCTCAGTGATCACTGGTGAGCGCTCAGTAGTTCCAACTGAGCGCTCAGTGATCCACACTGCTTGCTCAGTTCCTATCTTATCATCACGTGACTTGCACCATAGTTCTTCCGTTTCCGAGCGAGTCCCTGTTGTTCCCGTGATCCTGCAGTACAAATGTCCTGTCACAGCCGCCCGACGCCCGAGTGGGTCGTTCAGCTGTTATCCTTGTTTACGGGTCGTAACAAAAGGCTTCTATTTCTATTAAGTTAAGTCTATAAATTTTATTAGAGGAGGATGCTTCACAAGACTTCATTCATATATCCGTGTACGACGAAACGCAAGAAAAGCGTGAAGAGGATAGAATAGGGAACCGACTCACTCTATTTGCTGGTAGCGCAGATATTAATGGTATTATAAGACAGGAGGTTGATTTGCTAACAACGACACGCTTATCGGAGGCCCAAGAACGTCAAGAAAAAGTCATTATACTAGGTACGTTTAAGTATACTATACAGATATAAGTTTTGCTAATATGAATTAGTTTCTAATTCAAAAGAATATGATAAACTTAAAAACATAACTTTAAACTACAAATTCAATAACAAAGTGTATGTAGCTAATCTGCGCTAAGTATATATTCTAATATACTGTTAAGCTATTATAACTATATACTATAGCATAGAATATAAAGGTATAATTCAAGTATGTAACAATAGTTTCAAGCTAGCGTTATTTTATAAGTATACCATATTAAATATATGTAAACCTTCTGCGTAATTCTTAAGTAAATACCTGTTAGAAAACGTACTTCAAACTAAGCTTGCTATATCTATTCATAAGAGCTTAAAACAGCTTATAGTGGTGTGAGTTATGAATATAAGTGAGAGAAGCTTAAAAGTATAATACAAGAAGAATACAGCAAAAAGCCCTGTCTTGAGGTTGAAATAACAGTAACTTAAGCTATTATAAATCACCCTGCATCTCCCTGGGTAATAAAGGACTTGGAATCGCATTGCAAGCTTAATGTGTAATAACAGCATTTACAGCGTGGTAGCTATCAAGACACCTCACCATCTGCTATTCTTGCAAAGTGAACAGTCTTATAAATCTCTATACTAGAATAAGATAGTGTTCTCAGTATAGTGGCTATTGTGATAGAGAGCTATATGCTCAGCTTGACACTCTCGACATAAAGTGGCTGGATTGATCTAGCCAAAAACACTAGAGCATGCGCAGCCAAAGACGGGAGTAGCCGGCCGCTTGCAGAAAGGCGGGACTCGGCCCCGGACTCCGGCCTCAGGTCCGGGCCCGGCCGACTTCCGTGCCGCACTTTTCCATCTTTCCGCATAGACCCACCAATTAATACTAGCGCTTACGTTGTGCGATATACGGCTAAACTTGTTTCCGATCTAGCGTAGCTTACGGCGCTAGCGCTGAACCCGGCTTTTGGTTATTACAGTCCTCAGCGAGTCAGAATCGCCATACGTTATAAGCAAGCTTATGCTGCAACGCATTATCCTCAGCATAACACACAGCGCCTGGTCGCTGATGCGGCTAAGCCGGTTCTGGACAATGCAGGCCGTGCCTTGCAGACTTTTGTCTGACGTGCTGGGTGCTGACAACCTAGTGGAACGCTCTGTGGGGACAGCTGCAGAGTGTCATGCAATCACGCATGTAGTATCCCCACTTTTTACGGATGCTCTAAGTTAGTTTTTGCCAGCTTATTCCAATCACGTCCTCTTTGCTTATCTCAAAACCCCCCTACTTTATCCGTAGATAATCTTACGTTCTATGGATTAGGCACATGGCGAGAGACAGGAGTACCCTGCCAGAGACCCGGCTTGTTGACCAGATCGCTGACAGCTCATCTTACTTTTATTCAACTTTGTGGAGATATCTGTTTATTTGAGCCTCCATTCCATCTGCGCGGTAAGCAGCTTACTTCAACTATTGCTCTGACCTCCAGAGAAGTATTTTAGCGCCGTTTTTGACGGCGAATGATATAATCTAACGGATGCAGATTTGAGCAAATCAGATGCTGTGTACGACCGTCTGCTTACCTATATAGGAAACTGAGGAAAACTGGAGCAAAAACGGCGCTAAAATACACCTCTAGAGGTCAAAGGGATAATACTTCCGGTGCTTGCTGCGCCTCGAGAGCCAATCGGCTTCCGGGCCTGCTGCTGAAATGTCGCCGTTGCGACTCGAGCTCGCATCCACATTCGAAGTCCTCAAAGACAGAGAGAGATGCAGGGCGAAATGCGACGTCCTATCTTTCGACCGTTGTTCAGGCCTTCATGTCCCATTCTGCTCGTGCGTTGAAGCTTACCTTGCTTACTTTCAACGCTGCAGGGAGCCGTTTTCGGGCCCCCACAAAGATGTAGCGGGTCTGGGCTAAGGTGCCCCTGCCATATGCCATGCACCTAAGCCTTGGAAAGTCAATGCTCACTAACTACAATAGACCTGCGAAGTAGACACCGGTTTTGCGATGCACTGTACGCATGTAAACAGTCATACAAGTCCCAAAAGGCTCAGCTAAGGCGCACTAGATATCGGTGCCTAACATATTGCACGTATAGGCTGTGTTTCCCGGCAGGGAGACGACATTGCCCGTCAATACAGCGAAGCGTCCGAAGGATGGCAAGTAACCATCTACACATATGATTATGTCTGTTATTCAGCACTACCTAATCATCCTGCTTGTGCTGTCCGCCGCCGCTTTCCCCTCTTAGGCTCGCCTTGCTTAGACTCCTCGACCGCCTTGCGCCGCCTGCCCCGTTTCGGAGCCGTCTCCGCCGCGGAGGGTGTGTTCTGTTGGCTGGTCTCCACAGCGCCCGACGGAGTTGCCTGTGACCCTGCGCCCGTCACCAACACGGGTTCTGTAGCTTGCGGGTTGCTGAAATTCGTCTGCAGCTTATGCAAGGCTGGATATGTTGTCTCGTCTATCGCAACATTGCTTTGCTGTGTCTGGCCGGCAATCCTGTTTGTGGGCCACTGCCCGCTAAGGATGGAACTAGCGAGATTTGGTCCCGTCTCGTAGTAGATGTTGAAAGCGCCGTGGATGACGTAGATCGTGATGTAGTAGATCACGTTGTCGAAGAGGCGGAAGTCGACGCTCGCGCCCGGGCATATCGGACACTGGTCATTCCAGGCGAGCTCGAAGTGGATACGACACCTCGACTGTCCGTGCTGGGGGACCCTGGTCTGGGGCTGGCCGCCGCCGTAGACGAGGATCCATTCCTGAATGCGCCCGTCTCTCGTGGTGGTGGTCTGGTAGTGCAACGTCGATGTGTAGAAGTTGACTTGCAGGCCTTCGAGAGGCGTCGAGTCGGCGCCCAGGGCCTGGCAGATGACGGGAATAACGTCCATCTCGGCCGTTGCTCACGCCTGTGAGGTGAAGCATGAGCCATGAGCCAGTCCAAGAGAGACAGAGAAACAGCATCTCCATTGAAGTAAATAATCGCCTCGTTGCGGTTAATAAGAAAGAAGTTATCCACCTCAGATTTCTCAACGTAATCAGGCCATCGTCCACAACCAGATGTTTGAAGTAATCCAGCGTAAGCAGATGACGCTCCGAGCGGGAGACAGATCAAAAACCAAAAGCAAGAGGTAAAATGACCCTCGGGACAGCTTACGCATCTGCGCAGCCAGACGAGTTCAAAAACGGGCCTTGTGCCTCTCTGCACGGCAATGTCATACATACAGCAAGTAGGCACCTTCAGTAAACGCAATCTTGCCGTTTTGGAGAACAAAGCCAGCCATGTCTTCAGGTCGCGAAGCAAACGGGCCAGCCCACGGATCTCAGCACAGCGCCGCCGCTGCAACCAACAGCACCAAGGACATGCCGCCCCCGACCCTGCCACCGACTGGTCCGAAGTACAAAACGGACGCATCCCTGCAGCCAGCCAACGAATCACCCCCGCTGAAACGGCGACGTGCCACATCCGCGTCCGTATTCCCCCATGCTCCACATCAATCCTGAGACTCCGAGCTGACAACATCGTAGCGGAGAACACGTCAAGATAAGCACTATAGACGATGAATCAGTCACACAGACTAGCAACACTCTGCCCGCCGTTAGACTGCCGCTGCAGGTTGTCTTAGAAATCCGATTGCATGTCACGAACGGGGATGACGTGGAGACGACCAGCAACAAGACCTTAACGCAGAACTAAGGGACCTGCTGCTGCCTAGGGCGTTTTTATGTGAGGTCTTGTAAAAGCCTAGACTACTGGGGCGTCAGCAGCGTTCATATGTAGCACCAAATTGATAGCTGCTTGGCATCTGACAACTAAGACATATTTGTATCTTATTCAAGACATAGTAGTACAGTGGTGCAACAGACCCACCGGGCTAGGCCGTGATGGCATGGTGATTTATGGCGTCAACATACACTACATAAGCCGCACTTTATATAAGAAGCAAAGACTCCCAATCCACTTGTAAACAAACAGATAGAGCGACTGACCACCTTTTCCTGTGCCTTACCATGCCGTCTCATGTGCAGCACTTCCTCAACGCTGTTTCGACGCTTTCATTTCTATGCTTCGTCGTCCTCGTTGCCGTGTCTCTCGCCGACCCTCGAAACCAGACAGATGGCTTGCTCTTGATCGAGGTAAGTGCGGCTCATAAGGCATCGATCTAATAACGTCCTAAGTTCGTGAGCGTAGATTGGCGATCTGAACACCACCGCAGTCAATAGGACCACGACAGTAGGCGGCTTACGGCACCGTGAAGTCTTGGATAGAGCGGAAAGCATCAATAATCTCCTCGAGACGATGCTCCCAGCGGCTGAGCCGCGCGCCCGGGACACTACGGGAGAGGTCGCCACTTCAGTAGCTACGTCAGCCACTGCATCAGTAGCTGGCGGCACCAACGAGACGACGGCCGGCATCATGAGCGCTGTTCCCAGGAATTACTCGCTGGGCACACAGAGATTTTGTGCAGGCTATGCGGCTGGCCGCTTGTGCGGTGCTCTGCCTCCGCGGCTGACCCAACTGCTTCCCCAGGCCCTTGCCAGTAGACGCCCAGACGTCTTCAACGCGACGGTCCTTGTCGATGAAGCTCTGTCCGTTGCGCAGTCTGCGGCCCTTGTACAGGGCCCTGTGGTTCTGGGCTTAGTTGTCCTGGCTGTGCCTCTGCTCGTTCTGCTCGTTTCTTCATACGAGTGGCCCCTCAAGGTGAGAAGAGCCCTCGAGTCTAGAAGACATCATGTGTTTCTTGCATTATGGCTCTTCGCTATGAGTGGTCTGGCATTAGCGGCTGGTCCTGTTATCGCAGTCGTGATCATGCAGTCTAGGCTTCGTAGTGTTCCGGAGTGGATCACAGTGCATCCCGGACGTGCGGGGGATGCTCTCATCGCAGGCATGAGCTGTGCAGTGGTGTCTGTGGCTACAAACCAGACACTGTGGAGACACACATGGAACCGTGAAAAGTACAAATTAGTAGACTAGCTAGTAATATGCAGCCGCATGCAACCGAGCTTTACAGCGCCCTGATTCAGATACAGAGCTTCTAAGCCATCGTAGAAACTCTTAGCTTTCGAATCGCCATATGAAGAAGGTTTGGAATGTAGTCCTTTGGAGATTGCATGAAACTAGTAGTCAACGAGACTTGGCAACCCCAGCCATTTGCGAACAAGAAAGTAAAGGAATAATAGATTTTCAACCCCTAATAGCACCGATAGCACAATAGTGCTAGTTCTAAACAATTCAACCTCTGTTGACCTTTTGTAGAGCAGACTGTCGTTCCATCTGATAGGTGATGCGTCTACACATTGGAATGCAGTTGTAATCACGCATAAGGCGCAGGCCCATAGAGAAAAGGTAGAACTAGGCATGTCTCATCCAAGGCTGCCTTCTCAGCCTGTCAGCTCTCCACAACAAATACTCGGAGATTCTTCCTCCTGTTATAAGCCTATAATTGCGTTACTAAACGCAGCTAAAGCCTGAACTAGATAGGGCAGAAGAGGAAGCCGCAAAGCTACCAGCATAACTTACTAACGACGGGAAAGTTGCTCTCAGAAGAAGGGAAGATAGAGGGCTTTATAGCTGTTTGAGAATAATGAATTTGAGGATGGTCCTTTTGCCAGCTCTGGTTGAACGATCTTAAGATAATCTAAACACTATATAGATCTTTTATCCTCCACTTAACCACAATAATACTGCTGCTAGGTGCAATATTACAGGGTATTATCTCTATACTAAAAGTCAAATTCTCTGAAATAATCGCCTCTAATTACTGTCCATCTAGGCATGCAGCTAAAAGCTCAATTTTCCTATCGTCAGATGATTCTCTATACAGCTATACATTCGTCCCGCTTAATGCTGGCATAAACAACACTAACGCTCAGCAGCATAGTAAGCGACGTGGCTTTGGTATCTCTCACAATACTAACGTGAAACCTGCTTACCTTGAGGCTTGAGGTAGCTGCTGACACTGAATAACGCCGCCGCAGCCTTACAAACACACACACAATCTATGTGGATATATTGCTTTGTCTAGCGTTCGCCCACGCAGCCGAGAACATAATCCATGGTTCAAAAACAGGAGACCCCTGAATCGATATTGTTCTAGGGCCTGGTCAGTGGCTCTTCGCGTTAAGCTGGCAAAGTATAAAACGCAGCATTTCCTTACATTACCTGTGCGACCACCTTCTAGAGCAGTCTTCACGTACTTGCAGCCTTTCGAGAGACGCCCCCGGCACAAATCAAACGACATGAGATCATCCTCGTATTTTTTTGTTTCCCTCTTTGTGCTCTCTGTGGCTGCAGACAACCCTTTCCTCCAAGCCCGCCAGGAATGTGTCGCCGTTCCAACAACGAGCGTGGGTCTCGACCCATCTCCTGAGAACGAGTCACCCGTCGAGCCGGCCGAGCCCACGATGACCACTTCAGAGCCGTACTCAATCACCACCCTCGAATCACGCACGGAGATGAGACCTGATGGTCAGGTCATCACAACAACCCTGACCCTCACCTTACCTGGACCGGGGCCGCCTGTCGGATCGGCCGTCGCTCCCCCGCCAGAGACGGCTGACCCAAACACGCACGTCGTGGATGTCTTCGCGAACAGCGACTCTTCTTTCCGTCCAAGCCAAGTCAACGCGGTCATAGGTGACGTTGTTCGATTCAACTTCGAACAGGGGAATCAGACAATCACACAGTCTTCACTTGACATGCCTTGTACTGCCTCGGGCCAGGCAAGCTCTGCAACGAACGAATTCAGCCCGCTCAATGTCACTGGTGCTCTAAGTGTGGACTTTAGAGTAGAGCAGACATCGCCTCTTTGGTTTTACAGGTTTGTGGATCTGACATGGCTGCTTCCAGCTCTTTCTCCCACAGCTTTCTTGTGTGGCTGACTCGAATCTAGTCGTTCCACGAACGCCGCGCGGCATTGCAGTGCTGAAACGGTCTTTGCTATCAATCCTGGGGACGCTTTTGGAACATTCACCCAGAATGCCGACCTGCAGGGCCATCTCCGCGCTCGGAGACAAGCAGCGACCCGTCGAGGCGACAAGCCGTACTTGGGTCGGTCTAGCGGTAACGGACCTGGCGTCGGGCATTGATTTGTGACACGAACACAATAGGGATACTGAGTGTCGTGGACGCATGGTCATGGGTTTCGTAGTTGATAATGAGAATGCTCTCGCTCTATAGTCAAGATGCTTCACTGCTATCATCATTCCTCGCATTTCCGTTCGTGATAATTCTAGTATTCTACTGCCGTAGCTGTCTGTTCCGTTGTTGCCTTATCAACACCCACCACGGCTAACTTGGCATGGACTTGAGGGGGACGATTGCTATGAAGACCTCAACGATGGCGATAACGCCTTCGCAAACACGCCAAGTTTCGTCGACGTAGGAATGTCATCTGTCTCAACAAAGACATCAAGCCAGCCACGGGCTGTCTCCATAGCCACCGACGTAGCAGACAGAGCTCTATTCCGTTCAACAATAGAATACATCTCCCATCCCGAAACATTTCATAGCGGTCAAATACGCCCTGAAGAATTGAGATCATCAATTCTAAGCATCTAGCTGTCGCAGCATCCGCTATGTTTACTTCATCCAACACATCAATACAGTTCAGCAAGCTCGTCATCAACCTCTGGATACGAGACCCACCACGGCCATACAGGCAGCTGTAAACTCGCTGCATGTGAACTTGGCCGTGGTTGGATCGAAGAAGGGTGGGGTGGCAGACGGTTTCGAGGAACGGCAGTACAGTCGATCTTAGTATATGAGGGTTAATTGCATCGTCTCCAGTGATCCTGCGAATGTGTGCTAATCCGATGTTCTCGTCGGCCAGATCATGCGCGAGTTCTCGTATGTGCCTGTCGTGAGACGTATCCAGGATTCTGAGAGACGACAACCAAAATGTCTCTGAGGGGGAATGAAAAGAATGAGGATACGGCTGTCTTCGGGTAGGACGATCCCTAGATTGGCTTTCCATAGCGACGAGGACGGGAGGGAAGAACGGGGTACTATCGGAGAGGGAAAGAGGCAAGCAGAAGCTAGTACATACTTTGTCAAGCAGACCAGTCAGCTTCCGCCATAATCTTACTGTGCAAGCGTGACTTCGTAGATCCAGTGTGTACTGTGATCGATGGTGGCCATGTGCTATATGTATAGGACCACTGCTATACAGGAAACATACAGATAGTGTGATATAGCCACGCAAGTATCACAACGCAGCTTACTTTATTTCACATTCGCATCACAGTTTGATTACGTTTTACGATGACTCGTCGCAGCTGAAGAACTGCATTGAAGATCAAACAGCATCAGCAAGCTAGCCGCTACTACGAGTTCTATTGGTACTGTTTATCCTCTCATCGGTCGCGCGCGGGATTCTATAGCAGAACCCGCCCTACCCGCCCTTTAGAACGTTCTATCATTCCTCACCTTTTGCTTACACGCCCTCCACTGAGAACCGAGACCAATCCGCCAAGGCCTGTCGACACTCCTGCGTCCACTGCTTGACCCCGCCAAAGTAGATCATTGGCTCCTGCGTCTTGCCGGGTATGTTGGCCCCCGTCCACCACGCACGGCTCTCCCTCATCAGGCTCTTCTCAAACTCGGACTTGACCTGCTCCTTCCACATTCGACAAGCATCAACAGATACCTCGAACGATTTGAGACCTTCTGCGCGAAGCTTCCGAAGGACCGCCGCGATCCAGTCCACCTGCAATTCGATGAACGGCGGCGCATTCGCCTGGCTAGTGGGCGCTTGCGGCCCGTACAAGAAGAACGCATTGGGCAATCCGTCAGCAACCATGCCGAGGTATGTTGAGATGCCCGCACCCCACCTTCTTTGGAGCCGCACGCCGTGTTTATCGTAGATGTTCATGTCAAAGAGGCCACCAGTAAACGAGTCGTAGCCTGTTGCGAAGACGACGATGTCGAGCGGAATCAACTGAGCCGGTAGATGATGGCCGACGAGAATGCCGTCCTGGTGGAACTCGCGGATCGGTCGAGCCTTCAAATCCACGATCTCGACGTTCGGCCGATCGAGCATCTCGTAGTAGTCTTCTTCTAGGTTGACTCTCCGGTACCCAAAATGCTCGGATTGACGTAGAGGGGCGACGATATCCATCTTTTCGTGGTTTGACATGCGTGATCTCACCTTCTGCACCCAGAAGCTGTAAAGACTGCTGTTGGCCGCCTCATCTTTCATGATGTCGACATAGTTGGAAAAGGTCAGCCCCAGTCCGCCCCTGGCCCAAAGTCGCTCATATCGGGCTTGCTGTTCCAGCTCAGTGGCTTCTCCAAACTTGCCATAGCTCTGGTTATAGGGGAGGGCGGACGCAGAGCCGTACTTTGCCTTGAAGAAGATCCCCTCGTACAGATTCTTCATCTGCTCCGTCTCCTCGAAAGTCAGGCTTCGCTGACGCATCGGCACGGCAATGCACGGGCTTCGCACGAACACGCTCAGTCTGCAATCCTGTTTCGCAAGCTCTTGTACAATCTGCAAACCGGTTGCACCTTGGCCGATAATTCCGATCCTCTTGCCTCTCACGTCGAGGCCGTCGGGCCAATGTCTGGGATGGATGACCTGCCCGGCGAACTCATCCAGTCTCGCAAATGCGGGCACGTACGGCTTGGTTAGGCTTCCGGTGCCGAACACGACGAAGCGGCACGTTAGCCTGAGACCCTTCGTCGTCGACAGCGACCATGTTCTAGCTCGCACATCGTAGCGTACTTCCTTCACCCTCGCATTGAAGACTGTATCCTTTCGCAGGTCAAGAATGTCGTCCACATGGGTAAAGTATTTCCTGAGCTCTTTGTGGCTGGGATACCGCTCAGTGAAGTTGAACGACTCCCATACCTTGGCGATATTGAGCTGGTACGATGGGGTGTCCGAATCCACACGAGCCCCTGGATATCTGTTAAAGTGCCACACACCTCCGAAATCGCTTCCTGCTTCGAGGACCTTGGCAGTGAATCCCTGTAGCCGAAGCTTATAGAGGGCGGAACAACCGCTGAAGCCGGCGCCGATAATGCCCACATCTACTACTAAAGCTCTATCGTCCTTGTAAGGGCTCTCCATGTTGGAACTGCTTTCCTGCTTTCAGTTGTTTGTGCGATAATTATTGTTTATATTATAGGACTGTATTGGTCGAGACCGAGTTTATGAACGAAATGTACTTTCTCGCTGGACTTAAGAACATGGACGCTATTCCGGGTGGCCCACAGAGAATTAACGTGGTAGCGATGGATGTATGCTACCGAACAGCATGATGGTGGCAAGGAGGAACTTAGCTCACACTGGCCTATGCTGTGATGGCCCCCGCTTCATAATAAGCATGATGGGTCTTTGAGAGCCTAAGCGAGGCAAGATGTCAGACTCGTAATGGGCATGGTCTGTTCTTGGCACGCGGCTCACAGCTGCGGCCCACTACGGACAACGCTGCAAGGCAACAGAAGGCTTGTCATCTTTGGCTTCAATTCTGCAGTGCATTCAGAATCAATTCATCAATATGGGGCGTCGCAGCCGCTTAGCTTGTGGGCTGAGAAGGACGGGACGCTGTAATCATCTCGTAAGCCAGGCATGTGTCGGCTGACGTCGAGAACAGAAGGAACCCTTCCTACTGACTGAACTGACTCTGCCGTAAATATGGAGCTATGAGGGTAAATAATAGGTGGATATATGTGCATTTTGATGCGAAAAGAGTAGACTTCATTCTTCCACCTATCTGGCTCTTCTCTGTGAGAGGCATCATCGAGCGAGGACTGACCTGGTTACAAGACGTGACATGTCCGCTGTCACTCTTTGTTCCAAAAAGGCTGCCAGCAATAGCATATTGTATTTAATATATAGAGCGCGCTGCCTAAGTACACAAATGTTATTTTTATCACTGCTGAGTGCCGAACGGAAATAGGGCTAGGCTCGTTGAAGTTCCGTAAATAGAACATGGCCGAGTCTCTATTTATAGAATGTTATAGATCGATATACCAGACGCAACATACCAGACCACCATGCTTATATTGGACTGCAGAATTTCACGGCATGTTTCAATTTCAAAGTCCTTCCCAAATTACCTTACGTTCAGCATGAGAAGCCAACAAGACAGCTGCTGGCTTCAGCTCCGCCGCAGGAACAATTTCTATACTGTCAGCTCGACTCCGCTTCTTTCTGACAGGCTCGAGGGCAACCGCGGCTACCCTAGTCTCTTTTGCTGCATCGGTCCCAAATGTAAAGATGCCGCCTTGCGCTGGCTGACCACGTCGAAGCCGGCTGGGCGGACGTTCGGTGATATTCATCTACACGTTGATCGGCAGGCAGGGGACGTCACCACTGAACGTCCGCTTCTGTATGCCGACATCACCGTCGAGGAGGATAGTCTGGACGTGCCTGCATCCGATTCCGTCGGTGATCAACTCAGACACGCTGTGGAGACATCCCGTTTAGCGCCGGTAGCGGCTTATGCAGACATCCTTGGCATTCTGACGGACGTTGTATGCGTGTTTTTGCCTGATGCAGCAGCTCTTGATATGGTTGCCAAAGTGGTTGCGTCGTGGTCGCCGAACCAGCGCGAGGCTTCCTCCCCCCTGCCCCGTCTAGTGGTCATCGTGAAAACTAGCCCAGGACAGAATCAGGACAAGGTTCGTTCACAGCTGCTAGACATCATTCGTAGGAAGACAGATGCGGGGATGCTTGAAGCAAGGTTCTCGGCTGTCGGCGTCTACGCGCTGCCCGTCGGGGTAGACATGACTGCCGAATACTGGTATAGCCGTCTGCGCGATCACATGAAGAGTGAGTCAGATATTGTTCGCAAAGATAGGATAGAAAAAAGCCTCCTCTTTAACAGCCGCCACTTCGCCACGCTAGCCGAGTCTGCGTATGCCTCGTACGTCAATGTCCAACCGTTTGATGTTGTCCGGGCGACAAGAGCGCGCAACCCGGTGCCGCGTAAGATGCAGCATTCAATAGAGCGTTTGATCCGCAGGTTTGCCAAAGAAGAGGCCACACTCGCCACGTTTGTGCTGCCTCATATCGCTTCCGCCATGATGCTGGACGCCTTCCCTCCAGGAATGCACAGTTTGTCACGCCCGTCCCCTGTTG